TTTCGCGGCCTGATGAAAACTTCTGGCCAAACTTACGTGGACTTCGCAAGGGAGAAGAAAGTCCTCTTTGACAGGTGGTGTAGAGCTTGTAAAGCTGACGACATTACTTCAGTGTGTGAGCTAATGATGTTAGAGGAGTTTAAGAACTGTGTGCCTGAGCGTACGGTAGTCTACCTGAACGAGCAGAAGGTAACTACCCTTCAGCAGGCTGCCACTCTGGCAGACGAGTTTGCACTGATACACAAGAGCGTTTTTTTTCAGCGTGATCCTCCTCAGCGAGACACTTATCGTAGAGCTCCTGACAATTACGTTCCCTGTGTCAGTGCTCCAGTGTTAGATCCCAGGCTAAACAGAGCGTGTTTTTTTTGTCATGACCCAGGTCATGTGATAGCAGACTGTGCAGGTTGGAAGCGAGAGCAGACAGCGGCTGGCAAGCCCCCAGAAGGGGTGGGATTGGTTACAGCAGTGTGTCATAGTGGACGGGCCACTGTTAACAAAGGGCCTGATGAGTGTTTGAAACCGTTCATCTCTACTGCTTTTGTCTCTCTGTCAGGAAAAGTGGAGGACCAGCGGCAGGTCACGGTGTTACGAGACAGTGGTGGCTCACAGTCGTTCATTCTTGCCAGTGTTCTGCCCTTGAGTGCTGAGTCTGCCTGTGATGCAAGTGCGGTGGTAAGAGGTATTGGGATGGGTTGTGTGCCTGCACCTCTTCACAAGATCCAGGTACAGTCTAAACTGGCTACTGGTTTCTTTCCAGTTGCTGTGCTGCCCAAGTTTCCTGTCGACGGAGTGGATTTCATAATGGGTAACGATATAGCCGGGGGTAAAGTGTATCCTACTGCTGAGGTTGTAGACGTTTCAGTCCCTGGTGCTGCAGGTGGTGACCTAGCTCAGACTCATCCGAAGGTGTTTGCAGGTTGTGTTTTGACCAGAACTCGAGGTCCCAAGAGATTATGTTTCTTTTGTCTTGATCCTGGTCATCTAGTGGCAGGGTGTGTAGCTTGGAAGCAGCAGGTGGCAGCTTCCAAGCAGTCTACGGAAAAGTCAAAAGACCAGCACCCAGAATACAATATCGTCATCAAGCACAAGAGGGGAGCAGATAAGGTGGTGGCCGATGTACTGTACTGTGGGTGAGATTACGATTACAATGGGTCACGATTCATGTCCAATAGTCTGAGTGTTTTTGGTAACTGTGGCCAAACACTTGTTTGGTTTTATGGGGGGGGGTGTTACGTGCCGTAGTGTGTGTGTGGGTGTGTGTGTGTCTTTCTCTCTCTCCCTCTGATTCTCCAGGTGCAGCCTGATTGTCTCCAGGTGCAGCCTCTCTCCCAGGTGCTCCCAATCCCCAATCAGGGCCTCCATATAGGACCTGAGGAAGGCTGCAGTCGCTCTCCCTTTCTCCTCTGGCTGCATGGGTGCAGCACGTCATCTTGGGTCTCTGTGTGGGACCTGGTTGTCCATTATTGTTGGATTAAAACTCATGTGTGAACAAAGAGATCAGTTTCCTCTCTTTTTTCTCGTGCTGGTCGTTCTGTGTTTTGTTACTCCCCTTCGTACCCCTAGATTTTGGGAGGGAACGTAACAGTGGATTACAGGAAGCAGCAGGGAGAGGGACATGCCCCCATCGCCATCAATGGGACTACGGTGGAGAGAGTCAGCAGCTTCAGGTTCCTTGGGGTCCACATCACTGAGGACCTGACATGGACTCTTCACACCACCACTATCACCAAGAAAGCTCGACAGCGGCTCTTCTTCCTCCGCAGGCTGAGGAGGTTCAAAATGGATTCCAGGATACTCTGCAACTTCTACAGGTGCACCATAGAGAGTATCCTGACTGGCTGCATCACGGCCTGGTACGGCAGCTGCACCGACCTCAATCGTAAGGCTTTACAGAGGGTGGTGAAAACTGCACAGCACATCACCAGGACGGAGCTGCCATCCATGGAGGACCTTTACTCCCAGCGGCTCAGGAAGAAATCCCTACGGATTATCAAAGACCCCCATCACCCCAGCCACAAACTGTTCTTTCTGTTGCCGTCTGGCAGACGTTACCGCAGCATCCTGGCAAAAACAAAAAGACTCTGACAGTTTCTTCCCGCGGGCAGTGAGACTGTTAAACAATTGAACTGCTGAAACAATTTCAAACATTCATCTGCTACTTAGTAATATATATCTACTATCTAATATATATCATTCCAATAACTTGTATATAGACTCGTACTGCACTATTCCACATACTCACTTTATTTTAGAACTATTTTTCTTTTTGTATTACTTTTACTATCTGTATTATTATTATGTTGCATTGTTGGAGAAGCCTGTGACATAAGATTTTCAACTACATAATTACTCTGTAGCTATGTCAGTTTGACAATAAAGAACCTTGAACCTTGAACCTTGAGATGGAAGGCTGGCAGGCAAGTAGGCCATCCAGTTATTTTAGCCGGGCCGGCAAAAACACCACGATCTTATGATCCAATTCTATCAGTTTCCCAGTTACACAGGGACGCGGGAAGTCAGTCAGAGTTGGGGGTGTGTACAGCGTCTCGCAGCGTCTCACAGGTTGATACAATGTGAAGCTCATTAGCTAGCCAAAATATTAGAAGTGAGGCTACTAGACTAACGTTAGGTCTACTGTAATAGCCTCACTTTTAATATTTTGCAAAACATTAGCTAGCACTAGTGTTTTGCAGTTGCTAGCAGCTTATTGGGATTTTATGCTAGATAGACAGGCATTGTTTTGATATAATAAATTAAGCATTATTGTTAGTTAAGCATGTCAGCCTGCAGCCCCACTTTTAACTCTCTGTCTCTCTCTAACTCATTGCAGATGGCTGCACTAAAGAAAAGGGCACAGAGAGGAAACCAGTTGTAAGATGTTTAAAAGTTCATTAAACATAATATATGCTTAAATGCATTTCAAAGAAGTTGTGTTAGAGTTTGTGTTATTCTACATTTTGACACCAAGATTTTCTGATTTTATTGCAAATGTATATCGGTTCCAAATATCGGTTATCGGTCTCCTTGATTACTAATAATTGGTATCGATATCGGCCTTGAAAAAGCCATATCGGTCGATCCCTAATTTGTACGCAGACTGAAGAGAGTCAGTGGCGTTTTCTCCCGGAGGCCAAGGGAAGCCAGGCTTCCCCTGTTTTTTCGGATTGTAGTTATAATTTAAATAAATAAATAAAAACACTTTGTTTTGTTTAGATAATTCTCCTTTGCTGTGTGTTGCTGCCGGCCCGTCTCTCCCCCACTCTCATTGAGTATTTTACAAAGAGTGAAACAAACAGCGCCCCTCTAGATGTTATGGTGAAACAGTAGATTGCATTCACTGTTGCGAGAGGAGGCCAGCCGAATCGGGCTTCCCTTGGTGAAAAAAAATTGAGGGATTGACCAATCAGATGAGGCCCACGTGATGCCCCTGCCAACCTGTGATTGGTCAGGGCCATGCCAAGGGAAGCCAGCCGCCTCTGGCTTCCCTTCAGAGGCGGCTGGCGGCTGGCGATTTGATTGGACACTGCCATCCAATCAAATCACATCAACATCAGTTTTACTACGTACTGTAGTAGCCTACTGTAGCTGTCATCACCGCCGTTTGAAATTATCAAGCAAATGAAGCATTATGGAGGGTGGAGATTTGGCGTACTTAATCAAACATAACTTTACTAAACTTCCGCTACAGCAGCAACTAAAAATTAAATCAGATGACAGGTCAATGCCCACACTCGAGCTGTGTACACAGAGGAAAAAGGGAGCGAATCGGACGTTCAATGAGGACAATTATGTCCGCACGGAGTGGCTAACTGGAAGCGCTAAACTTCAGCGTCTATTTTGCTGGCCATGTCTTCTTTTTGACAAGGATTCGTGCTCCCTGAACAATCCCTAACCCTAACCCTAACCCTAACCCTAACCCTAACCCTAATGGGCAACTTCAGGATTCATCGACCTTGCCAACCTGTCACGGGCAATTGAGAGGCACGGTAAATCCAAAAATCACATAGATTGTGCTGTTTCGGCTGGAGAGTGCGTGCGGACCTGTCGGTTAGATAACAGGCGTGTGCAAGTCCTGCATCTGTGTGATACAAATGTGTGTAAAATGATACCGGGCGCTGTAATCACTCATCTGGTTACGTTATTGACCACCCCCCCCCCAACCCAAAAAAAATGGGCTTCCCCTACATTTTTCCCCACGCCACGCTACTGAAGAGAGTGGGTTGGTTTACACATAGGCCTACCAGTAATTTGCTTTGGTATAAATGGTGCATACAAAGACACAAAGGCAAGAATACGTAGCAAAAAATAGTACTAATATTAAAGCATTTAAAGGTGGGGTTTGAGAAACCGGCTCGAGATTGCTAGAATTTGAAAATACACAACCGGAGAAAATCTGCCACTTCCTTACAGAGCCCCTCCTCCAACACACACGAACGCGCACATGACCAATGAGGGCACGAGATAAGTTTGTGCCCCGATGGAAGGCTGACAGGCAGGTAGGCCATCCAGTTATTTTAGCCGGGCCGGCTAAAATGATTGGTCGTACTTTTTACAGTATTACGGCTTCCACAGATGACATTTTATGGATTTTTTGTCAAAGCACTTAAGATATTCATTGCTATCGGGATGTTAAGAGCATTCCATGGAATATAACAAAAAGTGTATCTCGAGCTGGTTTCTCAAACTTACCTACCCCACCTTTAAAAAAAATGTTAAGACTATTATTTCAAATTAAAAATAAATATAATATTTACAAAAAATTATAATATGTGAGAAACTGAGAGTACAGTTACGGTAAATATGACAAATACTATATTCACACTGTTCCCATATGCTTTCAATGAAATAAGCGAAAACTATATGACAAACTTTTAGCTAGGGGCTTTCAGGACCCCTGTTGATATTAAACCTTGGTCAGGCAGGCAGATATTACATTCTGGATATGCTAAAATAAATCAGACATTTAAACATTGACTGCACAGTCCCTTTGCTTGGCTTACCGATAATAAGAGGTGGAGTGCTGTTGCTCGGTATTATGGATTTGGCGTTTGGTGGGAACAAGACGTTGATTATCCAGAAGCCGGAGGCGTGATGGAGCCCCAGCAGGAAGACGAGCAGCAGCCCCGAGCAGAGCCGAGCAGCCGGCCCCATGGTTCTCAGACTGCGTGTGGGACTGCGCGGTGCTGGGTGTCGGTGTGAGTGTGTGCTGGAGGCGGGGAGCTGGCGGACCAGTGTAAAGGTTACATTCCCTGGACGACTTGGAACAAATTACAGAACATTTCTGTTATGCTTGGCTCTCAAACGCGATGATGAATCAAGCTGTCAGAACACACATGTAGGAGGCAGCAGGCACAGGGACAAATACAACGTGTCACATTCATGGATGTATAATAAGAGGTCACATTGCCCTATTGATTCTCCCCAATCCCACCAATGTATTTACACAATAGAATGTCAATGACTGACCAAGAGAAGACAAGAAATCAATTTATTTCTACGAAAAATAATTCAATTGTGTTAAGTGTTCCTTTAAAAAGACATGTTGTTTTGCCTCTTTTGGGATTATTATTAATTATACTTTATTAAATTAAAAGACACACCGGCAAAGGTAAACTGTTTTAATTTCATTTTTTTTTTAAGTTGAATTTACATGTGTACATTGGTGGAATTTACTCAAACTGTTCTTATGAACAATTTTGAGGTACTTGTACTTCCCTTGAGAGTTTTCAAATTATAATACTTTTTACTTTAAAACATTTTGGAGGCAATTCTGACTTTTTAAACCACTACATTTATTTTCCAAATGTTGTTACTACATTGTCACGATGTATTTATAATAGAGAATATAGATTAACTAATACATTATTATGTATTATTATGGGTCAAGTTACCCAGCAGTATATCACGTAATTGTTATAATCCCCACTTTACCAAGTGCAACAAATGCATACAAAATTATAGTACAAAAAAATACAATATTTTTTATTATTTTTTACTTTTTGTACCTAAAGTATATTTTGAATATACAATTTTGAATGTAGGACATTTACTTTCAACAGAGTACATTACACTGTAGTATTGCTACTTTTGTGTTATGTTCCCATTTCACACCCTTTGGTAATGTTCGGGTCAAATTGACCCGGGACATATTTCAGGGTTTAAAAAAAATACAGAACTAAATTCAACATGCACAATTCCATATATTGTCTTTAACTCAATCCCCAACAATATAAATGAAATATATGATTAGTTTTTGAAAATACTCTTTGCTAGATCAAATTTAACAATGGAAGTGTCCATCGTTTTTTGTGATAAAAATGTAATTTATGTTAAAAAAAATACACTGTAATAAAAACTAGGTTTACATTTTGCTCATGCTTTTCTAGGACAAATGTAAATGAAACATTTTTTCATTAATTATTTTTAATCTGTCATATAATAATCAAAGCCCTGAAGGAAATAAAGCAATTTAACAGCAATTGAAACACAAGAACCACACATCCAAAGGTATTTGGCTGTGAAATATACATAAATATGCTGGCTGTGGGGGTCCTTGAGCGGCTGGCTGTGGGGGTCTTCCAGCAGCTGGCTGTGGGGGTCTTCTTGCGGCTGGCTGTGGGCGTCCTTCAGCGGCTGGCTGTGGGGGTCTTCCAGCAGCTGGCTCTGAGTCAAGTTCATCTTCCAAATCGCTGTCAAATTCTGAGTTTACCTCCACATTATCCTGATCTTCAGAAATGTCTTCCTGTTCCACTTCACCGTGTTCTTCTAATGCATTCCACTCACTCTCATCCATTATTAGCTCCAAGGATCTCTGAGCAGAATATCTTTTGGCCATTTTGCTGATAATTGTAGTTCTGCACTATACACTTTTTTTTCTTTTTTTCTTTTTCTTTTTCTTTTTTTTTCTTTCTAGATCTGGGTTCGGATTCATTCACTTAAATGTGCGCAGTCTGTTACCTAAGTTAGATTTTGTCCGCATTTGGGCGAGCTCGACTGATGCTGATGTCATTGTCTTATCAGAAATGTGGCTAGATAAATCTATTTTGGCCTCTGACATCTACTTAAATGGTTATAGTGTATATCGTACCGACCGTCCTAAAAAAGGTGGTGGCGTTGCCATTTATGTGAAAAATAAGTTTTGTGTAACCAAGATGGTTTCCAAATCTATTAGTAAACAACTAGAATTTTTAGCCTTAAATATCGAAGTAGCAAAGGGTCAACAGGTCATGGTGGTGGGCTGCTACAGACCCCCCTCAGCTGTCAAGGACTCTTTATCTTCATTGGCAAAACTTTTATCTCAACTTGACTACAAGGAAATAGTGCTGCTTGGTGATTTTAATTGGGACTGGTTAACTTCTGTGTCAGAGGATTTTAAAAACCTTTGTATCTCTCTGAATGTTACTCAGATTATAGACAGTCCTACTTGCCCTAACATTAAGTCCCCAAATAAATCCTCCTTAATTGATCTCATTTACTAATGTTCCCCATAAATACTCATCTGTGGGAGTATTTGCAAATGATCTGAGTGATCACTGTGTTGTAGCCACAATTAGGGACACAAAAGTCCAAAAGGTTAAACCTCGCGTTATCAGTAAGAGAGACAAAAAACATTTTGTGGAGCAGGGTTTTGTACATGATCTGTTTGATTTTGATTGGGGTAACATCGATCTGTGTGCTGATGTAGAAACTGCATGGTCTTATTTTTATCTTGGTTTTATGGAAATTATAGATAGACATGCACCCCTGCGTACATTTAGAGTGAAGGGACGAGACAATCCTTGGTTTTCTGCTGAATTATCTAGTCTCCTACATGAGAGAAACAAGGCCTGGGCAAAGGCTAGGAAATCAGGCTCAGAGGTAGAATGGCTACGCTTTACGCAGCTAAGAAATAGCTTCACATCACAAATAAAAAGTGCTAAGTCTAAGTATTATCTGTCAGTTACCACAAAGAACCTGAATAATCCTGGAAAATTTTGGAAAGCCATAAAATCGATATCCACCGGTGATATCCATAATGAGCTACCTCCGTGCATATTACCACAGCGTCTGGCACTATATCGGACAGGGCCACTATGTTAAATTGTTTTAATGAGCATTTTGTGTCCTGTGGCTCTCTGTTTGATTCTGTCACTAACTCTGCTTCTGTGAACACCACAGTCTGTGACTCTGAAAAACGTGTTTTGGAAAACCCTTTTAGTTTTACTCCTTTTACTGTTGATGTTGTTCGAGAAGCTTTAACCAAGTTAGATCCTAAGAAACCGGCCCGGCCCGGACAACGTAGAACCTTTCTTTTTAAAGATAGCTGCAGATTTTATTGCTCCACCTCTCACTACTCTTTTTAACCTCTCCCTCAGCACAAACACCATTCCAAAATTGTGGAAGTCAGCGTATGTCCTGCCTCTACTAAAAGGTGGGGAGGCCACTTTATTAAATAACTATAGGCCAATCTCTAAATTATCAGTTCTGGCTAAGGTTCTTGAACGCCTAGTCAGTGAACAGGTAAAGGTGTATTTATGTACAAATGACATCCTGTCTAAACATCAGTCAGGCTTCAGAAAGCAACATAGCACCATCACTGCCACAATGAAAGTGGTGAATGATGTGGCGAGTATTTTAGATAATAAGCAGAGTTGTGCAGCTCTATTTATTGACCTTTCCAAAGCGTTTGATACCGTCGATCATCGCATCTTAAAGCAGAGGCTACTCAGTATTGGCTTATCCAGCCATGCAGTGGGGTGGTTTGTGAACTACCTCTCTGAAAGGTCCCAATGTGTTCATTTTGATGGGCTGTCACCATGAGTGGTTAAACATTACTAATGGTGTTCCTCAAGGTTCTGTTTTAGGTCCACTTTTATTCTCCATCTACATCAATAGTTTAGGTGAAAATGTCGATGGAGCAACCTTACATTTTTATGCGGACGATACCGTTATGTACTGTGCAGGTCCCTCCATTAAGGAGGCTGTTGTTGAATTGCAAGCTGTTTTTAACATTATTCAGACTCAGCTCTCTGAGCTTAAGCTTCTTTTAAATGTTGATAAAACCAAGGTAATGCTCTTTTCAAAAGCTAAAAAGACACCAGAGCCTGTTTTAGATATTGTAACTACGCAAGGAATAAAACTTGAAGTGGTTACCTGTTACAAATACCTTGGTATCTGGCTTGATGACTGTCTCACTTTTAAATGTCATGTCAATAACCTGCTTAAAAAACTGAGGGTTAGACTAGGTTTCTTCCACAGGAACAAGTCCTGTTTCTCGCTTGAGGCCAGGAAAAGGCTAGTCACTGTGACCTTTTTACCTGTGCTGGACTATGGTGATTTGATTTATATGAATGCACCTGCCAATTGCCTGGTCAAGTTAGATGCTGCGTATCACAGTGCACTGAGATTTGTGACAAACTGTAAAGCATTAACCCATCACTGTACCCTGTATGCAAGGGCTGGTTTGCCTTCACTAACTGTACAGAGGCTCAGTCACTGGTACATTTTTATATACAAAGCCATGTTAGGGAAACTTCCATCCTACATCTGCTCCCTGATCTCACGGCGAATTGTAAGTGGCTACTGCCTGAGATCGCATGCTGTGGTTTTGTTAAATGTGCCAACTGCTAGGACTGTCTTAGGGAAGATAGCATTTAGATGCACAGCTCCACTGTCTTGGAATAGTCTGCAATTGAAATGGAAACTGAGCAATCTGGTGCCACTAAATGTTTTTAAAGCTCGGTTGCTACTCAATCGGAAGCTGTTGGTACCAGTTCATGTGGATAGTTATGTAAATTGTAATCCCTGTAATGATGCTGTATGATGTCCTTTTGTTGTTCTGTTTATGTTTTAATGTTTCATGTGGAACCTACTTGAGCAGGTCTCCCTTGAAAAAGAGATCAATGATCTCAATGGGATACACCTGGATAAATAAAGGTTTGAAATGAAAATTGAAAACACTGTAATGTGAGGTTATGTCTCTGTTTAGTCCCTCCTCCGGCGTGCATGTGCGAGGGGGACAGTGCGAGAAAATGTCAAATGTTTATACATTTCTGGAAGATCTAAAATGTTTATAATGTTCTAGGATAGTTTTGTGTACACACTACAAAGGGTAAAGATAAAGGGAAAACAGGATCAAACAGGTGTGTGTGTGTGTGTGTGTGTGTGTGTGT